CAGTGAAACACTGGTGCAAGCTAGCTGAAGACTGGGAAACGGCTTGCATTTGCAGTTTTGAATAGTAAGCCAGACAGTGCCTTCCTTGCATCACAGTTCACCTATGAAGTTTCCCAGACAGATCCCAGAATGAGGGTTAAGCCAGGGATCGCCTAATAGCGTGTGACCCCTACAGATCCATCAGACCTGATAGTTACCTCTAGAAAAGGCATTGAGAGAGCTGGCCAGCTTGCTCATTATAATCTTTGCAAGGTCGAGAAGAGCAGGGAGTTACCATGCAAGTTAGGATGCTACAGTCCAGGTGAGCAGGGAGCTAGATAGGTAAAAGATTGGTTGGATGGTTGGGGTGAGAGGACATGGTTGTATGCTCTTCGGATGCCAGTAAGAGTGGGGTACCCCAGGAGTCTGTCCTGGGGCTTGTCCTTTGTAACAACTGTATCATTGACCTGGAGGAGGCAACAGAAGGCACTTCTGTGGGGTTTGCAGATGATACCAAACTGAGGGGACCAGTTGATGGGCAGAAGAGCAGGTTGGAGGAACAGGCCAGCATGGATGCTGTTGGGTATAGATGAGAACAAAGCTGTGCTGTCTTACATAAGCAGAGGATGTGATACAAAATGTACAGATCTTTCTCAGCCTCCTCCAGTTCTCTTGTTTGCAGTGCAGCTTTATTTGTTAGTTGTTGTATTTTGTTTAATCTCTCTTTGCAAGTGATCTACTGGGCATTGACCAGTGCCAAGGGCCAGGAAACATCACTCCAAAGAACTATCTTTATTTCAGCTTTCAGGATGTTACTATTCTTCCACTTTCTGTCCCTCAGGCCTTGGTAAATCTCATAAAACCCTTTTCAGATTGAAATCCTACTCTTCCCAAGCTGTAACATGTTTTACAGCATGTATTTCTCTATAGTTATCTTAGTCTCTTGTTGACAGTCTTTAGTTACAGTTCCTTGGCTGGTAAATGTCTTCCTTATTCTTAATCTATCCACTTTGTTTTGTTCAGAGCAATGCATGAGGATAACAAGTTGGCTCACAAGTACCTGACACTATTTCTTAGTTCTTTCTGTCTTGCCGGTGTATTATGAATAATATTGAATCCTGGGGATGTCTGGAAGAAGCCAGCAGCATTTTTCCTACTTGCACATCTCCCAGAAGAGCTGCAAGCTGCCTGGATTTCTCTAGTAAACTCAATGGATGTGCTTCCATAAAAGGTGTTCCAATAGTTTAATAAAATTATTCCAAAATATGATAATAAACAGTTGTTTCAAATGTCAATTTTAAGGCTTGCAAAATGTAACTATGTACATGCATAAGATCAGAGCATAAATCAGCTTAGTAAAATAGCTTTGTAAATATTTATGAACACAGTGCTCTTCATTTCACACATTTTACTCCTCTGCCCTCATCTTAAGTTTTCACTTGCCCTAGTTTATGGCTGGTAGTTTGGGCCGAGTACCTAACATTGCTAAATTGCTGCCTGTTTTCTCTGATATTGCACATACCACAATCCTAGATCTTTATTGACTGCAGGTGAATGATCTATAGAAAGAAACATGTCTGCTGGAGGAGCATATTCTGAATTCTAATGTATCTTTCTGAAGTTTAGCAGGCACCGTGTTCCTGAACTAAAGCACAGCCTGTATTTTCCTACATGAGCTGCCATCCCTCATTTGGCTGCAGGTGAGGCAGGATCCACATTCCTTGTTTGCATTGGTATTATGATGGGGCTGGTTATTCAGAAGGGTGAGGAAAGGGAGATTAAAAATATGGTTGGTAGGATGAAAGGTGTGGAATGAAAGAGGTGTAAAGGGACCGTGAAGGAACAGTGGCTATCAGGATATAGCAGGGACGGTCTAATGGGGCCTGCAAAGATGGGCTATCCTCTCATGCAGATGTCTTCGTCTCCCTGGCACCTTCTCCTGTGGCCATGATCCTTCCCCAGGCAACCTGATATTTTGGTGGCCCAGAGGAGAGGAAATGACCTTTTTTACTCCTTCCTTTACAGTAGACACAGGTGAGGGTAAAAGGGTGCAATCACAGAGACATTTTCTTTTAGATTTTTACAAAGTCGTGCATATGCTCGTTACTTCCACTTGTGCCATGTAAGTGCTGGAATTTCTATTACTCTTCACTAATTCACACCAAAATCTCTTAGTTGCATTTTCTCCCTATTTCACTAGTAGCAGATAGCACAATGTTGATATGATAACCAGAAACAAAATCTAAAAATAAACCTACTGATAATTTTCTAGTGTTTGTTTGACCAGACCCTTGAAGTTCCTGAGTGGTCATTTTGGGCTGAGATAAGTGCTATCATTTTTCTTCTTTCTTGTCTGCTGGCTCTCCAGCCTTTTTGAACTGCAACCCACAAGGAGTCTGAGCAGGAGGTGCTTATGGCAATTCAGGATGGATTATTCTCATTGTCTTCTGCTGTTTCATGAGAGGCTTTGGCAGATCAAAAGCTGTTGCTGCTGAGATCCTGCCAGGCATGCTTCCCATGTATGCATGCTTCCCATGTATTTCTCGATGTCTTCACTGAAACTGCATGGGATCAGTGGAATAGGGGGGTTTTGGGTGCGAAAACATTTTTCATTATGTTTGAACATCTTAATTTGAGATTTATAAGGACAGCCAGATATGCTGCCATTTAAACAGTATTTAATTGTGTTTGCATTTTCATAAGTGTAAAATAAGATAACTTATTAATTTGCATGCAGACTTATCAGAAGATTCCTGTACATTGTACAAATTTCCATCATTTAATGTTTTAGCGTGTATTTAATCATATTCATGCAAATTTAAGTGTCTTTCTGACTGCAGTGATATCATTCATTAGCAGTTACTCTGAACTCTGATGATCATCGGTTTGGTGTAAACACACCAAAAAATATTCTTCATAAAGTATATTTCAGAAAGCTTATTGACTATTCCTCCTGAAATTGTGACACACTTTGTATATTTTAGATACTCCTCAAGCACACTGCTGGTGTACTTGTGGAAATAAAATGCTCTTTGATCAAGTAGGATGTTTGTCTTTGGTGAGTCATGCTTAAGGCTTTTATTCTTTCATTTGCATAGTCTGTAGTCAGTGGTGTTCCCCAGGGATCAATACTGGGTCCAGTCTTATTCAACTTGTTTATCAGCAACATGGATGAAGGATGGAATGCACCCTCAGCCAGTTTGCTGATGATATGAAACTCAGGGTAGTCACTGATACACCTGCAGGCTGTGCTGCCATTCAGCGGGACTGTGACAGGCTGGAGAGTTGGGCAGAGAGAAACCTGATGAGGTTCAACAAGGCAAGTGCAGGGTCCTGCAGCTGGGGGGGGAATAACCTCAAGTACCAGTAGAGACTGGGGGCTGATCTAGTGGAGAGCAGCTCTAAGGAGAAGGACTTTGGAGTCCTGGTGTATGACAAGTTGACCATGAGCCAGCAGTGTGCCCTTGCAGCCAGGAGAGCCAATGGCATCCTGGGGTGCATCGGGAGGAGTGTGACCAGCAGGTTGAGGGAGGTGATCCTGCCCCTCTACTCGGCCCTAGTGAGGCCACATCAGTACAAGAAAGACAAGGATCTACTGGAGAGGGTCCAATGGAGGGCCACAAAGATGATTAGAGGTCTGGAGCATCTCTCTCGTGAGGAGAGACTGTGGGAGCTGCTCCTGTTTAGTCTAGAGAAGAGCAGACTGATCTCATCAACACTTATAAATATCTCAAAGGCAGGTGCCAAGAGGATGGTCCCAGACTCTTTTAGGTGGTGCCCAGCAATAGGACAAGGAGCAATAGCCATAAAATAAAACACAGGAAGTTCCACCTCAACATGATGAAGAACTTCCTTACATTAGGAAGAAATTCCTTACATTGAGGGTGGCAGAGTACTGGAACAGGCTGCCCAGGGAGCTTATGGAGTCTCTTCCTCTTTGGAGACATACAAAACCCACCTGCACGCATTTCTGTGTAACCTGCTCTAGATGAGCCTGCCTTGGCAGAGGGCTTGGACTAGATGACCTCCAGAGGTCCCTTCCAACCCTAACAATTCTGTGATAGTTAGTCAAAAAAGATATAAGGTCTTTTGCAGGTGACTTAACTTCCAAGTGTGTCCCTTCACCTCATGTTTTCTGATGACTAGTTCCAGGCAAGTTACATCCAGGCCTTTCTGCAATCCTCAAGTTGCTGGCCCAAGATGCCATGCTCTCCACATCCAGGACACAGGGCTGGGGTGAGATCCAGGTGTGATGGGCCAAAGGCCAGTGGAATTTGAAAATGTGGAGCAGCCACCATGAAAGCATGGACATTTCAAGAACATCTTGAGAGGAATTAATGATGATATTTCTCTCCATCTCCTTTTTTTTCTACTGCCTAGAAAAAAAAGAGCATTGTTCTGTTTTGGTTTGGGGTTTTTTTTTAGCAGAACTTCTGCTTCTCTGAAATTAATCAAGTAAGAATGGGAGTGTATTCTCACACTAGCAAATATCTTGTCTACATGTACAAGCCAAGTCTGAGACGTTTCCTTGAATGTGCAGAACCAGTACTTTCTGCAACAGAGAGCAGCAAGCAAAGCCTCAGAAACAGTGGTGTCACTGTTGTATACCTGCTTTCCCTGTAGTACCACTCCTTCATCTTGGAGGATCCAGGACTGGGTTCCCAGATGAAGCTTCCTCTTAAAATTATGCCTCTCCAGAGACCTGAGATTGTGAAGAACCTCTGTTTGCAGCACTAAATACAGTAAATGCTATTGTATTATCCAACAGTAGCGAATTCAATAATCCTACTCCCGTCACTTTCTAACAGGATAATGTTAAAGTCATTCCTCTGGGATGGAGAGTAATAATTTTCTAATTCCCTTCAGTATTTCATGCTTTGCAGTATTGCAGCTAATTTTCTCTTTGTACCTTATTAACATTCACGATGACTTTACAGTCCCACCCTAATAGTTCTTAGCAGAGGCAGTGACTGTGAAGGTGAAAGCTGACAGTGACACATTTTCCTTCTTTTTCTCTATAGACTGTACTATCCTGGTTTCCATCCTCTGAGGGCTGTCCAGCTGCTGCGAGTGGGCAAACTGCAGTACAGTCAAGACATGTTTCCTCAGGCACTGGAGACCTTGAAACAGGTCAGTATTGTGAATTGTTTTTTCTCTGCTCTCCTCCCTTGCTTCCCCTGAAAATGCCATGTGACCCCCCCCTTCTGCTCTGGCTGTACCTCATGCTTTTAGATACTCCTCACTGCTGCTTTCATCAGTGGTGTTTCCCCAGGCTGCAGCTGAGTGTGATGATGGGTCACTGCTGCTCAGCGTTTCAGGCATTGATATCCTCCAGTATCAGTCACTGCTAATTACAGTTTGATAGCTCAAAAGTGCCTGGATGAAAAATTACTATTAGATCTGAAGAAATAAAATTATCTCACTGCCTCATATGTTCCTTCTTTCCATGGCAAATTGAATCTGGGAGCACTGAAAGTACAAGAACAAGTGCAGAGCTGCAGTTTCTTCCCTCCTTATTCACAATCAGGGTCTGTGATTTCAGGTTGGAGAACTTTGTCTTTAGAGCATGTATTTTATTGTGAGCCACACTCAAATCAACAGGCATGCTTCTTGATCCTTCCTATTTCTTATATCATTCATCACCTTTGATCTAGTTTTGCAGCTGGTGCTTTGTTAGTTACATTTCAGCTTTAAGCCATCCCTCTTGGACTTGAGCTGACTTTTATATTAATTTCCATGTACCTCAGGCTTCTTTTTGTCCTGCTGTTATATTGATGTTAGTATCATCTTAAATATATTGAATAATCCCCTTCCATGTGCAACATGTCCTCAGGATGTAGGCTCTTACTTGCTTTCCATCTCAAGCTTTCAATCACTGCTGGAGTGCTTTTCCCCTTCTGTAAGATGTGCTGCCTCCTGTTTCCCTCAAAGAGGTCTTACGCTTCTTCTCTTGTATTACTGATTGTCTTGTGGTCCGTTTGGCCTGAAGACAGTACGTGCTCCATTTGGTTCACCATCTCAGCTCTCTCAGCCCACCTCCAATGCCTGACACAGCTCCTCACTGCCTTTGCCAGGTGCTGCAGAAAGCCACCTGGCCCAAATACTTGCCTGTACCTGCTGGGCAGGAGCGGGCCCCAGGACTGGCACCAGTGTCAGAAAGAAGTGCAGAATTTGGCTCTATGTTCCCTGTGATTAATGTCTATACTATATGAAGAGCTAGTCTTGTGGCAAAGAGGGCAACGGCTTGGAAAAAAGGGAATGGGTGTCTGCATGGGGGATGGGGGAGAGGTGCTTTTTTACTCCTGCCCGGATCCCCTATAAAGTTAATATCAATCATGACTCTCTAGGTAACTTAGTATTTTGTACTTACTTTTTTTTCAACCCCCATCTCTCTTTGGTTTTAACATTTGATTAATGATGCAAGCTGAATAACTGATAATTTTCACATGTTGAAGTAATAAATTAGTATGTATTATGATGCCACTCTTGTTAAGTCTTGGCATAACTTAAATCTTCACTTTATATATTTTACTTAAATTGTGGCCAATTCTGATCATTATAAAGCAGATGGAAGAGTAACCAATTCTATTTTCCATGCATTATTCAGAAGTATGTCATATATCTGTCATATGCCAAGTAATCTGCTTTGCTCTTTCCGCCATAATATTTAGTTTCCAAACATTCTGACTTTCCTTTTTAGTGGTGGAATGAGACCCCAGTCAGAGGAGCTTCTGTTTGCATTCATACTGCCATAATATATCAACATTTTTCTAACTGCATTTCTGATATGATACTGCATTAAATTAAAATGGAGTAAATTCCCAGACATCTGAATGCTGCTTTTCAGTGAAGGTGGACATTGTGATGGGGATTAATATGTTTTTAGGGAAGAATGTTTTTATGTTCCTACATTTCTTGGTTAAAAAGTTGCCCATTGCAAGCCAGATTGCTACTGTATGATGCTTTGAATACTGAGCAATGCCTAACAAAGAAATCTTTTTTCAAGCTGCGATCTCCTCTTTCTCTGCAAAGGGAGATTAAGGTCCTGCTTGCCATTCTGTGCCATACCTCAGTGCACCTCTGTGGTCTCCAAGCTGTTAGTGGTCCACAAGGACACAGTAAGTGCTTTGCAACTGAGGTGATGAATCCTGTTGTGGTTTCACCTATTCCCTATTCAGCCTCCCCCTTTTCACCCACATGTGTGAGACAAGGAGAGACTGAAATGCCACTCTCTGGGAGCACAGCTGAGAGGAGGAAAAGCTTCTTGTCACCATGTTTCTCCATGTAACTTGTAAACACAGAACAGTTCTTTGGATGAGCTCTGCAGCTGATTCCCTTCCTTGCTGTCTACACTGGAACAAATTAGAGGAAGATATAATTCCCAGTTTGTCTTGAGTAAAGGATGTGATTCCTAATATAACTTAGATAATGTTGTAGAGTTAGATGAGAATACAGTTTGGCCCTTTGTGATTAGATGTGTCAACAGAGCATGCCACATGCTCAGAGCAGAAACTCGATTACCTTCTCTGCTTCATTACTCTTCTTAATACACTCTGACACTGAATAGCAGCACCCTGTTGGAACCCTCGTCCAACTAATTTCAGTGTAACATTAAGGAGAAGGATGTGGAAGGTGCAGAGGAATTGAGTCAATCTGAGTGAAATTTGCCTCATATAAATCCTGTTTAATCAGGCACAGCCTCAGAGCTGCTGGGGATTGACAACCTCTCTGCAGTAGATGCACAGTTTAAGACCAGTGGATCTTAACACACAGCTCTCCAGCCTAGCCCTTACTGCTGCTCTCTGTGCCACCCAAAAATTAATCACTGTCATAGTCACCTTGCTCTTAGTTCCCTTTGGGTTTAGCTCTCTACCCTGCATCCCCAAAGAAGGCTTAAATAATGTGGAGAGCATTATGTTGCCCATTAGAAAGAAACCCACCCCTAACTGTATATTAGGCTCTGCAGAATCTAAATCTAATTTACCAGTTTGGTAATAGAAGTGTTGCAGAGAGGCAATACTCCACTAGAATAAAACGTGAAGGTAGCCCTTGGTTTATTGTACAACCAACATATTGTTTTTTAAATTTGTATACATACATATATGAAAGATATAATGGTGGGAGGACAAATGGAATTATAGATCAGGAAAACTTTTATCAGGAAGGGACCAGAGTTGGAGCCCAGCCTGAAAAATGTAATTTAAAGAGCCTGATATGACTGTAAAGCTCCAATAACAAAAGTTGCCACAACCTGTCTTGTGAAGATAAAATCTTCTTGATGGGGAAGCAGCACTCCCGCAGGAGCTCAGAATGCAGCTGCATCTCTGGAGCTCATGGGAGCCCCTAACAAGTGTACAGATTTGCCCTAAGGTGCACTTATTATCATAACTATTTGTTTGGTGTCATTTGTTACCTTCACAGCACTATAAGCAAACTTGTTGGGTTGCCCATAGCCTGGATTGAACTGGATTTGACTAGGAGTGACAGGCAGGATGCAGAGGGGAAGGCTCGGATTCAAGAAGATGACTTCATTGGTTAGTGTCTCCTCAAAGCAAGACAATGGATGCTGCAGCACGATGTGATGTCTTGGCTGCTGCTCCATCCTGTGGGCTGTGGTGGTGGTGGCTGCCTTCCTGCACAGGGCTGTGGTGCCCATCTGCTGAGTGATGCTAACTGGGGATGGGGGCAGGCAGGAGGATACACGTGTGTAGGACACTGACCATCCAGTTTCCCCTGCAGACCCTGCACTTGGCTGGCATGGTCTGAGGAGTACTTTTCTCCCACCATGAGCTGATGGGCATGGCTGTCTTGTCTCGTGAATGTCTGCAATAGGCACAATATCATTTCCTTTCTTATGGTAATCCCTATTGTAGAGGCAAAAAGCTCAGGAACTGGGGTAAAATCCTTCCCAGATTTCACAGCAACACAGAAGTACCCTTTCTCTAGGTGTTTACTTCAAAGGCTGAATTGTTTACAAGCTGTTATTGATAGTAACTGTGATAGTTTTTGGTATTCCTATGCCTGTTTTAGCAACTTTTCCCCTTCAGTCAAGTTGGAAAACCTCAGATACCCTCTGTGAAACACTAGGCTACATTTCCTGCCATTCTGGCATGTGGCCATTTGCTTTCTTCTTTCCTTGTGACAGAGCTGTGCCATCCTGCATCTGCTCACGGTTCTCACAGCCATGGCAATGGGCATCCTGTCCCATCCCCATGCAAATCAGGCACAAATGCCTGCACTGCATCTCATTTGCATTCATGGAGCAACAGCCATACCTCTAATCTAATGAGTTTTATATTCTTCAGGGAGACAGTATGTGCCTGATGACACTGTGGCCTGTGTTGCCGTCTTGCAATTACTGTAGTTTTTCATAATTAGATTTGCTCTTTTAGCTGAGAGGAAGACCACACAGACCACATGAATCTGCTCTGCTGGCTAGCTGTGAGGACAGGGGAGTGGTCAAAGAGCCCACATGTTCCTGCTTCTATCCAGTAAAACAACTCCTTGCATTGGAGCTGACATTATCCCCAGTTTTGCACTGACCTCTGCAAAAACAACTGCATAGTCTAATACCAGCTGAATTTAGGGATTACACAAATCATTGCTGTTCTAACTTTGATGCAGCTGGTTCTGACTCGTACTGCAGTGTGTGAGACAGTACGTTGCATGAGAATGATTTTCTCCAAGGAAACAAAAGGATAAAGACTGAGTGTTTTTTTTCTGCCATACTGAGGAAAGAAAAGAAACGGAAAGGAAATGCTGGAGGCAAGAGATAAGTCAGCAAGGGTATCATTACCTGAAAATTAGGGTTGATATTAAGGATTTTCGCCTTTTAATAGAGGCATATCCCTATGGACATCTCTGGCTGGGCATCAGGGTGTCAGGGTCCAAGTCCATCACTGTGAGCCTGACCTCTATCCTGTAGGGGGACTGAAGATCAAGGTCAGCTGCCCTGTCACTCAGATATGTCCAGGTGCACAGCTCTTTGCATACACCATTCACAAAAAATCCATCACCTTTCTGAGACGGAGCATGCAAGCACTGTGCACCAAGTGTGTCAGGATCCATGGCCAATTTCCCTGGCTGCTTTGATCAAGCGTTATCCTGCCCCTTCCTAGTTATCCTGGCCACAGCTCCATGTTACTGTACTACAACATACACAGGATCCCTTCTGAAGCAATTCTGCTCTGCACCAGAGAGAATTCCCTATGCCATGCAAGTATTCGTCTTTCTCCATCCTTGGAAGGGCTGACTCTTTTTCTTGCTTTTCAGACTACTTTTTCAATTATTTATTAAAAAAAAAAGCTCTTGTACAACTTTTTTCATTTTTTTTCCAGGAATTATAATTATAACTTACTTGCAAACATTTTGGAAAAACAGGACCAGCTTTGAATTTCAATTCACGTAAAAGTACAGAAAAATGAGGATTTCTGGTTTCATTCACATTTCTTATGCATTTCTGATAGTGATGAAAGTGTTTCATTGTTGTGCTTAACTGAGTACTTTATCATTTAGTAGTACAGCACTCTGGTAGCTCAGTATATATTTGACTCTTTTTAGAGCTCCTTACTTACTCTGATTTGTTTTGACTGCTGTTTCAACTTGTTCTTTCAATCTTTTGCTGCCTTCCTCTTATTTTAAGAATTTTAAGAATTAGCTAATTTGAAGCAAAAATAAACTGTGCTAGAATTTCCATATGCTTGCCAGTCTCTAGAATTTAGAAATAGGTTTTCATTTCTCCCACCAAAGAATATATTTATTTTTATTTTTATCTTTCCAATTTAAATGAAGCCCCTTCCTTAACTTTGTTTCCAAAAAGATATTCCATCTGCAATGCAAAGCTGATTTAGCTGAATTTCATCAGCTGACTGGACAAGGAACCCTTTGAAACACAGGCTGCATTCAGGTTTTGGCAATTTTTCAGTTTGGGATGACGAAAAATCTGTGATGTCTTTTCTCTTGCCAGTACACTCCTAGCTCCCTTGTTCTATCTTCAGAAGTGCTGAATCAATTTCCATCTGGTATTTCCCTCCTTGCAGGAGGAATTTAATAGAAGGGAGAAGCAGAAATGTCATATGAAAAGTGATGATCTCAACATGAGCTGGGCAAAGAGCATTTCAGTCATATCTGTGGCAGGGAATCAGCAAAACTACAGGCAATATGAGCAAGTGTAAATTGGCCCAGTAATAGAAGATGACAAACACACAGAGAAACTAATCTCTGGGAATAACAGCAAAGACCCATTATCCTGTATGCCTTTTTACACTGAAACTATTAACGTACTGATTTGTTTGATGCTATGTATAGTTCCTCCTGATAGAGTTAAAGCACTTTATTCCATTGGTTAAGCATTAGTCCATTTCTATTTACAGGACTTTGTGGCTACTAACATCCTGAACATCACTATCATCTTTTAAATAGTGTATTGAAACCTTGGGTGCTACACTTGACCAATCTTTAAGTGGCCTTCATGCCTCAGTGCAAAAGTATCTTCCTCTGTTATTCCAAACATTCATCTATGCAATGTATTTGTGGGTTTTAACACCTAAGAATAATGTGTCAGTGCCTCCTCCTTTGTCAGGGACAAATCATCATACACTTTGGGATGCTTCATTCCTATTTTGACTATACTGTGCATTCAAGCTCCAAGTTGCCAACCACTTGAGGTCCAGTACTCACATGACCACCCTGCTGCAGGGTCCAACCCCTTTGCATGGTCTGCACAACGACTAACGTGTCCCTTTCTGTTCTTTCCTCAAGGCCTATAATATTATGAAGGTGACCCACGGCACGGATCACAGCCTGATGAAAACCTTAATGGAGATAAAGGAAGAGTGTGAGGCTATGGTGAGAATACAGTGAAAATAATCTCTAGTCTGGAAAACAAAAGATTCAAGGAGAAAGAAAATCACATTATTTTTATTTCATTGCAAAGCTTCTTGATGATGTTAGTGTCTTTTCCCTAAGACCTATTTGCTGTACAAAAAAGTTTAAGATTTATTAGTTTTGCTGTATAATTTGAATTGAGTTGATGTTTGGACAAATTCCTGTAATTTTCAGAGGATTTTTTGCTCCTATCATCAATCTAATTGACAATACCTTATTATCAATTTACAACACCTAATTTAATTGATAATAAGTATTGGGAAATGCATACAGAGTCTTCATCAGTTACAAACTGATCTAATTCTATTGATATCAGCAGTCAATTTTTATATCAGTTTATGCCAGCAATTAAGAATCTCATGTCAGATACATTATAATTGCAGAGAATATACTTTTTCCCTTTGCCTTGACCTTAGATATGGTTTCCAGAAGCCTGATTCAGTGCGCTTTGACATCAAATAAGTTTCCCAATGTTCTAAATGAGATTTTCATCCCTCCCAATGTATCTTCAGGGCTCTGTCCCTCTTCTTTTTGTGTTTCATATGTTATATTTAATATTAAAATGGATTGAATAAAAAATTTTATCAAAAGTGTACTGTGGAAATTGCTTACTCTGCTTTCTCCCCATTATGCCTCCTTCAAAGGCTTTTTATTTCATATGACTTTTAAAAACAGAGAGATTGGGGCCTATGAGCTCAGTGGTATGATTTCTAGACCTTTCTGAGTCTGTGGGGTTTGAATGTCACTACCCCAAATAGTGAAGCCCAGAGACTTCTAGATGAAAGCTGTCATCCACAGGGAAGAGAAGGATGTCTTGGAAAGCACAGGCACCCCATTTCTCCATGCTATCAGCAAGAGAGTTTTTCTTGCCACAGCTCTTGTCTTCCATTTTTAACACAGAAACAAATATTAACAAAAGCCAAATATTTATGAGGAACATTGAAACCTAAATAATTTAAGGACTTGGAAAGTATTGCTTCAGGTGTGTTGCTCGTCTCTAACAATTTATTGCTGCTACTTCAGCCATGACTGTTACTTCATTAATCCATCGTTGTTGTGAAGTCAGGCTTTTTTCACACTGGTAACTTGACACCATTAATTATTACACGATGAGAACACATTTAAAAAGAAAATGAACACTCTGGGCGTAATTTACAGCCACAGCACAATGCTGAGGAAGATATCTCCTTTCAAGGCATTTGAATTTGTTCCAGTGTATGGAGCGTTCACTTGCCCGGCAGTAATATGCAAGCAATAACCTACGAAATGCAGTACATTTCTGGAGTACGTAGCATGGCTTGGTGCCAGAGGCCAAGTCATATCAGCCACCCAAGAAGTGCAGTAATCCTCACAGAAATTCACTGCTTGGTTGGGTCTTCCTGCTATTAGGAAAAGGAAATTGTCTGGGGGAAAAGGTCAGACCTTTGCATTTACTGAGATTTCTGACAAAGTACTGGCATCACTGATGGACAACCAGAAAATGTGAGGGGGATTCAGTCTTCAAGAGCTATTTTCTGTTTTTAAAGGGGCACATGCATATTAGAATTTATGTGATTTTTTCATAAAGATGGTGCTTATGTTGTGATTACATATCTAGTACTAAGATTTGCAAATGGAAAGGACTTCAGAATGTAAGGTAAGATGATGCGTTAGTTTATGCAGCATGTACTGGGAGACAGCTCACAGGCTCTCATGTGTGCAGACACATCTGTGCGTATGAACTGGAGCGCTGTTTCCTGGGGCTTCTGGTACAAGGACACCTCAACGCTCCAAGCACAATAGCAGGGAAAGGTGGGTGCTAGGGGAGAGGCAGAGTTACCTGATGTCAGATGAGAACAGCCACCTTACATCAAGTTGAAACGCCTATCTACACTGGGATTTTCTCTCCAGCAGTGGTCTTCTCTAAGGTCTAAGAAAACACTTAGATAAAAGGTATGAATTAAACACTTCCAACAGCTGGCGAAACAGGAAACAGAGAAGGAACATGCTATGTTGGCTGTAGAGCGTAACAACGGCAAGTGGGCTGCCATGAGTGCAGGGCTGTTGTAAATTCATCCACAGCCCACTGAGCAATGCAAAGAAACAAATCAGCACCAGGTTGGTTTGTGGCTCAAGAGCACCACTGCATTGCCTGCCCTGCCTGGCCTTCTCTGTGCTGCTCTGCGAAAGCTCCCTAGTGTGGGGGCATAAACCACGCTTTATATTCATTACTGTTGATGCCAATCTTACACTTCTTTCAGCTTGGTCAAGGCAAGAGTCATGTTTTCTGGTTGGTTTCAATCATTTATTGAGCAGTTTCCCTTGGAGAGTCCCATGCACTAATACCACCAGCAGGGCTGATGGTGCTGCAAGGGAGTTTGTTGTGGGCAGATTTTGTCTCCTGGTGGGCCGCCCCACTCCAGCCTATTTTCTGCACAGAATGCTGGCCTGTGACTGTATAGAGATTTACCTATGTACGTTGTTTGAAAGTGCAGTAGCAAGCAAGCGTGCCAGCGAGGAGGGAACATTGGATAAGTTTTCGCGAATAATATCTGTCAAATTTTTCAGGTGATGGTATTACTTTGGTAAGATAGAGATGCTAAAGTCAGAAAGAGCCAGACTGCAACATTATCTGTAATGCTGGCAGTCTTGCTGCTTGCTTCTCACAGGTTGGAGGCTTTTTCAATGCCTTTTGGAAAGCAATGGTAATTTGGGTTCACCTCAAGTTTTAGGAATACATTTTGAGTTACTTTTGTTTTGTCACTATCCCTTAAATTAGTCCAGTAAAAACAATGTTAGATTGGGCTTAGAGGGAACAGTATGTGTTTGGACAAAAAGCAGTACCAGGACACAGGAAAAAAATCATGGGGAATTATACAGTTTTGCTAAGAATAACTGATTACAGTCAAACAGAACATTTGTCTCATAAAAAAAACAAACAAACAAAACAAAAAACTTCACTAAACTGTGCTATTTCTTTGAGCATGGCATAATTCTCTGTATCCCTGCCCCTCGAGGGGTGCTGACCTGATGTCAGAAGTAAAAACTCTCCGGGCTCTTGGCAAACAGAGCTTGCATGCATAGAAGCAGTGGTAGAAAGCAAGACAATGCAGTAAACCAATTTTTTAGAGCTTTGACTTCTTTGAGTCTATCAACCTGTGTGTGAAGTCTATTGTGCATGGGTTTATGCCAACAAAACTTGTCCATAACTCAGATCTTTTTCTTCTTCTCACTGTAACCCAATTCTCTGATGGTTAGTTTTTTTAAGCGAGTTTTTCTTAGGCTTGTTATTTTTTTACATAGCACATTTATGAAATACAGAGGCTGTTTTCTGTACAGTATATTCCAAATAGTCCCTGGCCACTGCAAAGCTCCTAATGAACAGAGTTCTATTTTTCACAGAGGTTGTGCCAATTATGAGGATTTTTTTTCCTGAATCAGAATTAAATCTCCCATAAGTCAGGGAGAAGAAGAAAGGTCTTAAAGCTACGGACATAGAGTTCTGGCTTGGCTTCTCTGCTGCCTGACCTTGGGCAAATCAGACAGGGTTAGACGTCCACACTTGGGTCTTGTCGTTGTGGATTCTTGGGAAATACTTTCTCACTGTTGAAAAAAGGAAAAGGAAAAGGAAAAGGAAAAGGAAAAGGAAAAGGAAAAGGAAAAGGAAAAGGAAAAGAGAGGAAAAGGAAAAGGAAAAGGAAAAGGAAAAGGAAAAGGAAAAGGAAAAGGAAAAGGAAAAGGAAAAGGAAAAGGAAAAGGAAAAGGAAAAGGAAGGAGAGGAGAGGAGAGGAGAGGAGAGGAGAGGAGAGGAGAGGAGAGGAGAGGAAAAGGAAGAGAAAGAGGAAAGGAGGGGAGGGGAAGGGAGGGGAGGGGAGGAGAGCGCCTACACTGTGCCTTCTCCACATAGAAAAGCTTTGGTTTCCATTCACAGAGCTTCAACAAAGTCTGGAGAACAGTCAAAAAATCCAAAGCAAGTGCTTTTGTGCATTTCAGACCAAAGCCATGTTAAAGTTCCTCTTTTCCTTTTCTTTTTTCTTCTTTTTTAGATTACTATTTTCTTTTTCCTATCAATGTACATTTTTCCCAAAAAAAGTCCTTTTCTCTTTCATTTCTGATTTTACAAATTTAATCAGCCTGAAAATACATTTGATATGGCTGTTTTGTAAAATGTTCCCTACAAGAACATCCGAGCGTGCATTTTCCCTGTCCTAAGCATAAGAAGTGCACCTCATGTGAAATCCTTTGGTCTTCAATTCTTGCTATTCAGCACAGTGGTTGTTTATCCCCACAATAGTGATGTATAAGCCAGGCCTATATGACCCTTATTAGAATTTCATGGGGAAAGTTCAATGTTTTTATTTTCTCTGCACTTGTGATCAACATGGACAAATCAATTCTAATTCCATCATTCTTTAGACTTTTTGTAGGTTTTAATAAGGACCTTAGAGATTCCTTCCCCCCTCCAAAGTAAAAAAGAATAACTCAGGCTTAGTAATTAGGCTTCATACAGTCACTGCTAACACAGAGGAACCTAACAGGTTCTTTATAGTTCCCAGGAGACCAATTAACCTTCTTTTAAATATATCTCTATATAGCCATAGAGACAGGCACACACAAAAATGCACATACACACAAGCTTTTCAGCAGCCTCAGATGCTCTGGCTCCTTGTTAACCAAATTCTGATGGGGCTTATGGCAAGAAGACAGGTCTGAAGCATCCTGCCTGAGTCCATTTTAACTCCAAAGATACCAAAATTAAGACAGAGTACAACCTCTTCTTCTGATTTCCTTGCCCCCAGGACAGGAGGAAGAGAATAATCATGCAGACTCTTCCATGCTTAAAGTTCCCCTCCATCTCTTGGGCTCGGGCAGGCAGCATTTGCTGGTCCCCTTACCTGGAGCTAAGGAGCCTGCTTCCCCATCTCCATTTCAGCTGAGTGCTGACAAGAGTAAAGTGTGGTGCTTTCTTCCTCCGCCCCTCTAATTCAGCAGCTCTGATTCCCAGTCCCCAGAGGCTCCAGATAGGAAGGTGGCAATTTTACATACCTCTTGGAGGAAAACTGCTCTTTAAATCACAGGTGATTCCTCTTGACAATTCCACTTGACTTTCAGAGCAGGAGCTGTGAGACAGTAATAGAGGAGGGCGTCTGATGAGAAAATTAGCAGAGCTCAACTCTTCCCCTCCCCCAAGCCTTGTGCTCTGCTCTGTGCTGTTCTTGCCTGTTTATTTTTAATGAAGTTCCTTTTAATTAAGCATTTTTTGTGTTGTCTTCCTATTGCACTGGATACCGGGTGTGGTGCTGAGCATCCTGTGATGAAACAGGTAAAGGAGAGGTCTGGCCTGATCCTCCTTGAGCTGTCCCTTGCTGAGCTGGGAACACTCAAAGTGATGCATTGTAAAGCCATGGGGCTGCCAGCCCTCCCACCAGCAGCAGCACACTGCAGGAGCCCACAGTGAAGAATGGAAAAGCTGTTGTGATCTTGGGAGAGAGTTTCAGGTACCACACCAGTGAAGGGAGGAATTGCTCTTCACGCTCCATACCTATAGCAGTAGCTATATATCTGAGGGACAGCTGGTGGTCTGGGAACTGGAGTTGTGAAGATGATGGGGACT